GCAAAAACCGAACGATCAAGATTTCGTCTCTCCGCGGCAAAGAGAATTAAATAATCGAATCCGTACTGGATTAAAAGATTGGATTGGGAAACCAGCGGCAGATCTTATTTAGACTTAAACGACTTCCGAGACTTCACATAGTCGCCGTGGAAATCCCATCGATCGGTTCGCGCGATATTATTAATCGGGAGTTCAATTTGCGTAGAATGTTGTAACGCTCGAGTTAAAGACGATTAAAAATGAAAGAGCGATGAGCGAATTTTAGGTCAGCAAATTTAATGTTCATGAAAGTAAATTTGTGGTAAATAATTGAACGAATATCGGTTTCGAGTTTATCAACGTCCGCGGCTGAAAGAAAACGCTTCACTTTTGTGTCGCGCACGACGATAATAAGGCAGGATTAACGAAAAACGTTTTGAACGTCGAAAGTAGTCGTAGATGCGAACATTACCGTCGCGAGATGAATCGTCAGCGATTCGTCATCGACCGTCGATCGATATTTTTGAGGGGACAGATAATGTCCTCTCTCGTGGGCTAAAGCTAACGCGACGTAATTAACTCTTCCGAAGATATTGGAACTGCGATTCGTTTTAATTCCCGCGTTAAGTGGCTTATAAAATCCTCAAAGCCGTTAAAATTTCTAATCCCGCAGCGGAAAATCTCTCTTCTTCTTCTTCTTCTTCTTCTCCTTCTTCTTTCTCTTAAACGCGAAATCGAAATCCTTTCGTTAAATGTGACATGTATAAATCTTTGTCTCGGAATTAAACCGTTCCAAGTTACATCTCACTTTGCGGGCCACGACTGATAAATCTCTTTTTCGAGGTTTGATTTTAATTCGAACGTGAATAAAATCACGATTAGTCAGTGAGGTTCGCTCTTCTTTTTCCCTCGGTCGCTCGTGGTAACAACAACATTTGCTCGGATAATGGATCGGCGAGGAAAAATAGCGGGGGTGTCTCGCGGGGGTAAATCAATGACGCAACAATATTTCCAAGTTTGCTAAGCCTGGATTGCCGTTATTGTCGCGATTTCTTCGAAAGATAAGGCTTTTAATTAATACGAATCTTCTCTGTGAGTCTCCTTACCGACTACCGTCATATCCGAATGGTCGGAAACGGTCTGAAAGGACGGCGCTTCTGCCGAAACCTCGCATCTGTAGCGTCCCGTGCTCATTAGATTCACGGAACGGAGGACGACCGTTCGTTGGGTAGAATCATGAATCTGAAAGATAAAGTAGAAGGAAACATTGCGACAGTAGACCAATTCGTCACGCCAGCTAGAATGAAAAATTGCAGCTTGATTCGACGAAATTTCGACGCGAGAACAGAACTAAAATGTCCCTTAATTTAATTTGTTCATTTCATTATCCGAACGAGACAGAGCGGGAAAAGAGACGGAATCATGAAAAATTTCGATTATCTCGTATTAATATTAAACTTCCGCTATCTCCACAATGTCTTCCCATTAAACCTTTATATCGCGCGGAATAAATTTCGCGCTTGCAACATTATTTTCGGCGAACGACCGGATTAAACGCCGAGTTTTCACCTCGGCTCTCTAAATCTCGGCGGATGAACGAATGAAATCGAGAAATATATATTCGTATATATTCCTCCTTCGCAGACGCGCGCGCGCGCACGAGAGAGAGAGAGAGAGAGAGAGAGAGAGAGAGAGAGAGAGAGAGAGAGAGAGAGAGAGAGAAAATTGTTACGACTTTACCTTGTCGTATAGTAATATCAAAATCTGCTTTTACAGACGTAACTTCATAGCGTGTATCACACGATGGCGATAAAACACGTCGTATTACGAGGAAAAAGTCCTTATTAAGATAGACGTAAAGGTTTAACTTTAATATACTTGTAGAAGCATTCAAATGTTTCAACGTAAGAACCCTCGATCCGCGAGAAGTGAAGAGTCTATTCCTCCTCAATTAAATATTAATTTAAAACTTAATTACTCGATAGTAAAAATAAAAACGAAAAGAAAAAACGAATAAAATCCTTAATTCCGAGAAAAAGAAAAAGGTAATTTTCTTGTATAAGGATGCAAAGGGGGGAAATCGGTTGATAATTAAAGTCAGGTACGTGGCGTAGCACAACGAAGAATATTTCCAGAGTATTCGTAGACAAGGTTTTTTCCTCTCCGTTACTCAATCGCGTCATGCGTAAGCGCGCGGCATGAATCCCTAGACTACTCTACACGGATTTGCCGGGATCGTGGCTTATCTCGGACGTCGGTGACATTGCCGCAAAACTTTTACGCTTCCGAACAGTCTGAGAAGATGGTTGCGGTACGCAGCCACAGAGAGAAGAAGAAAGAGAGAGTGAGAGAAAGGAGGGGAGGAGAAGAGGAAGGAAGAGAGGGGGAGGGGGCGGGAGGGAGGGAGGGAGAGAGAGATGCCTGTCGTCTCGAGCACTCACAGGATCGCCGTTGATGAACCAGCTGAGCGTGGCATGTGGCTTCGACTTCGCCGAAGTGCAATTGAACCGCACGACGTCGCCGACTTGATAACGATGTTTCCCGGGTCGCGCCGTGATAACGGGTCCGTCCTCCGGCAGGGCTGGAAAATATGGAGATGCTCGTAAAATAAATCTGCCGTGACAAAAAGGACGTGATGTTCTTCGATTAGACTCGGGGCGAGTGACGGGCTTTTAACTTGCACGCCCGCTCGAATATTTTAACGCAACACATCGCTCGAACCCCATAATTTTGTTGCGGCAAGCTTAACTTGTTTACGCTTACCGGCGTGGAAATTTTAAGTGGAGTAACACTTTGCTATAATCATTGCACTCGATATAACACATTTAACTCTATATGTGCACGCAATGTGTGTGTGTGTGTGTGTGT